CATCAGAAGAATGCTCCTGTCCTCCCATCCCCCACACTTGTATGACTCTTTAAAAATGCAACTTCCTTTCTTTGGGAGGAGAGGCTGTGGTTTTGCAGGAATTGCACTGCTGCTCAGTTCAGTTACTGCCTCTTGGAGGTTTAGGATGCCCCAGGCCTTGTTTTCCCTCAAAGCATTTCCTTGGCAATCACGGCGAACCGGACCAACCATTCTACTTGAGGATTTCTGTACACATTGGCGTTTTCTAGTATTGTAAGTTTCTATATGAGTCAGTCTTCATCATAAATCGTGGAGGTCAGTCTGGGGCTGTGATGGTTCAACCGGATGTAGGTCCCTCCAGAGCCCCAAGGTGCCATGTCGTTCCCTTTGCTGGAAGTTTTGACAAGGCCAGAAGCAGATGTCGGGGCTTCCTGGGGCCATCTGGGAGGGCCGTCAGCCAACTTCAGAGGCGAGCTGGGACTTCTGCGTTTCTGTTCCTGTATGTTGGAGGAAACTGGCAACAAGCCGCAAACCACTTTACACCTGACGTCAGCCTTGGTGTTAAACCCGAGCTTGTTTTCACAGATGCCTCCTGCGATCTCATTGCACCCCCTCTGCCCTCCTGCTCCTGTGGCCTTCTCTGCTTTGCTTCTTGCACCTCTTACAGACCTTCTGTCTCGTCTGTCTTTTCTGAGGCTGGGCATTTCCCCTTCTCTATAATCTTCTGTGACTCCCATGGCTCATAGCTTTGCTGTGTATTAGGAGCAGAAAGCAGGCTTCATTAGGTTATTTAAAATTTTTCAGTAGCCACTTTTTTTCTTTTTTGAGATGGAGTCTCACTCTGTGCCCCAGGCTGGAGTGCAGTGGCATGATCTTGGCTCGTGGCAACCTTTGCCTCCCAGGTTCAAGTGATTCTCCAGCCTCAGGCTCCTGGGATTACGGGTGCCTGAGGCAGGAGAATCACTTGAACTTGTAACTGGGATTACTGGTGCTCACCACTACACCCGGCTAATTTTTGTATTTTTAGTAGAGATGGGGTTTCGCCATGTTGGTCAGGTTGGTCTCGAACTCCTGACCTCAAATGATCTACCCGCCTCAGCCTCTCAAAGTGCTGGGATTACAGGAATGAGCCACCGCACCTAGTTGTCATGATTTAATTTATTTTTGAGACACAGTCTCACTCTGTTGCCCAGGCTGGAGTGGAATGGTGGGATCTCAGCTCACTGCAACCTCCGCCTCCCAGGTTCAAGCGATTCTTTTGCCTCAGCCCCCTGAGTAGCTGGGATTACAGGTGCCTGCTACCATGTCTGGCTAATTTTTGTATTTTTAGTAGACACAGGGTTTCACCATGTTGGCCAGGCTGCTCTTGACCTCCTGACCTCGGGCAATCCACGTACCTCGGCCTCCCAAAGTGCTGGGATTATAGGTGTGAGCCATCGTGTCTGGCCTGTTTTTTATTTATTTTATTTTATGTTTTTGAGACAGAGTCTCATCCAGGCTGGAGTGCAGTGGCACAGTCACGGCTCACTTGAACCCCTGGGCTTACGTGATTCTTCCACCTCAGTCTCCCAAGTAGCTGTGACCACAGGGGTGCACCACCATGTCTGGCTAATTTTTATTTTTTTTTTGTAGAGACGATGTCTTCTGGTGTTGCCCAGGCTGATCTAAACTCCTGGGCTCATGCCATCCACCTGCCTCAGCCTCCCAAATTCCTGGGATGATACATGTGAGCCACCACGCCTGGCCTAGTAACACATATTACAAGATACAAAGTAACAGATGAAATTAACAATACATTTTATTTAACTCTATATATCTAAGCTGTGATCATTTTAATATGTCAATATAAGAAATTATTGGCCAGGCTCGGTGGCTCATGCTGGTAATCCCTGCGCTTTGGGAGGCCGAGGTGGGCGGATCACCTGAGGTTGGGAGTTTAAGACCAGCCTGACCAACATGGAGAAACGTCTACTAAAAATACAAAATTAGCCGGGTGTGGTGACGCATGCCCGTAATTCCAGCTACTCGGGAAGCTGAGGCAGGAGAATCGCTTGAACCCAGGAGGCGGAGGTTGCGGTGAGCTGAGATCACGCCATTGCACTCCAGCCTGGGCGACAAGAGTGAAACTCTTTCTCAAAAAAAAAAAAAAAAAAAGAAAAAAGAAATTATTGAGATATTTTACATTCGTTTTTCCCTGCTAAGTTTTGAAACCCAGGGTATATTTTATATTGACATTCCATCCCAAATTGAAGGCTAAATTTTCATCAAAAACATTTTGGTCTAATCAGTGTTCACCAAATTTACTTTTGAAAAAGTAGATTCGTCTACCCAGGTTGTCCCAGACTTACATAAACACTTCCCAATCATTGAATTGTTAGTTTTTAACATTTAAGTTGCTTAAATACAAGTAAAAATTCATTGGCAAATAGATGAAAAAAAGCTAAGGAAAAAAAATTCAGTTCCTCACTCCCACTAGCTAATTTTTTTGTTTTCTTTTAGAGATAGAGTGTTGCTCTGTTGCCCGGGCTAGAGTGCAGTGACACGGTCATGGCTCACTGTAGCCACCACCTCCTAGACTCAAGTGGTCCTCCTACCTCAGCCTCTTGGGTAGCTGGGAACACCAGGGTGCACCACCATGCCTGGCTAATTCTTTTCATTTTAAAAATATTGTAGAGACAGGGTCTCACTATGTTGTCTAGGCTGGTCTTGAACTTCTGGGCTCAAGAGATGCAACTCCCAAGAGGCGTTGACCTCCCAAAGTGCTGGAATTATAGTCACGAGCCCCTGTACCCGGCTGCAAGATACATTTTAAGCGCCCACCAGCCCTACATGACAGGTGCTGCTATATTGGGCAGCATATACAGACCATTTCCATCATCACAGGAGGGTCTGTTGTACAGATCTCTGATAGAATGAAGTCTTGAACACGTGTTTTCCAAGGAACTGTACATATTTTCTAAAACACTGCCCCAACCCATCTTTACTTACTGACTTTATCATGTTCACTCCCCCCTACACCTAATTTTGTTTTGTTCTGTTTGTTTGTTTTTGAGACAGAGTCTCACCCTGTTGCCCAGGCCAGAGTGTATTGGTGTGATCACTGCTCACTGCAGCCTCAACCTCCCAGGACTAAGCAATCCTCCTGCCTCAGCCTCCTAAGAGCTGGGATTACAGGTGTGTGCCACTACACCTGGCTACTTTTTTGATTTGTTGTAGAGACAGGGTCTCACTATGTTGCCCAGGCTGGTCTTAAACTCCTGGACTCAAGAGATCATCCTGTCGCGCCCTTCCAAAGTACTGGGATTACAGGCACGAGCCACTGTGCCCAGTCCTTTTGTTTTAGAGATGGGGGTCTCACCATGTTGCCCAGACTAGTCTTGAGATCCTGGGCTCAGGCTGTCTTCCCACCTCGGCCCTGCAAAGTGCTGGGATTACAGGTGTGAGCCACTGCACCTGGTCGCTATTTCCACTTGGAGGTGAATGCTCTTCCTTTGGTTCTGCCAGAGGTCTCTTCTTTGGGGCTTGGTTTAGAGGCAGGGCTTCCGAGAAAGACTCTACGCTTCTCCCTGCAGTGGGATTAATTGCTGCCTCGGCTTCCCATGAGTTCTAGAAAATGAGGCAGACAGTGTGGGGAGAGGGGAGAGGCGGCCAGCCTGTCCGAGCCCTGGGCTGTGGCTCGCTGCCCTGGAGCCTGGTTTCCCGTTTCTCCCGAGACGGGTTTGAATGGCTCTGCTAAGGCAGCCTGAAACCTGCCCAGTTAGAAAAACAGCCACATACAAAGAACAGCACTGTGTCTGCCTCCAGCTGCCCCGTGGCCGCTGGAGCATCGAACGTCAGACAGAAGCACACTCCGGGTGCAGGGTGAAATTCTAGGCAAGCAGCAGGTCTGCCAGGGCTGGAGGGAAATCCTTTCTTTGCCCTCACAAAAGAAAATGTGTGCCTGGCTACTCTGGTGCTCATTTTTCAGATGGGAACTGGAGTCTATGTGTATTTCCCTCTTAAAAAGCTGTAACACACAGGCTGGGCGAGGTGGCTCACACCTTTAATCCCAGCACGTTGGGAGGCCAAGGCGGGAGGATCACTTGTGCCCAGGAGTTCAACACCAGTCTGGACAACAAAATGAGACCTACCCCCGTCTCTAGAAAAAAACTAAAATATTAGCTGGGTGTGGTGGTGCATGCCTGTAGTCCCAGCTATCTGGGAGGCTGACGCAGGAAGATCACCAGAGTCCAGATGGTGGGGGCTGCAGTGAGCCGAGATCGTACCACTGCACTCTAGCCTGGGCAACAGAGTGAGATCCTGTCTCAAAAAAATAAAACAAAAAACAAAACTATAACATACATACAAAAAGGGATATACATCTTCATTGAACAGCTCAGAATTTTTCAGAATGAGCATACCTCTGTAACCAGCCCCTAGATGGAAAAAGAGAACAGGACCTGCCCCCACAAAGACCCCCTCATACCAGATTCTTCTTCCTCTCCCAAGAGCAAGTGTCCCATGGACTCATTTTGCCTATTTTCTGACCTTTATTTGAATAGCATCATGCAATGTACATTTGGTGGCATCTGGCCCGTTTGCTATTTCCGATAGTTTGTGGTGGTTTTTTGAATGCCTTTGTCTTTTCTGTTACCTGAAACAGTGAAAACCACAGTGGTTTTTAAAAAGACGAACAGCAGCACCAGATATGGAAGATAGACAGGTCATTGGTAATGGTTTAAGATGTGAAGAAGAAACTGCCCATATTTGGTTGATGTTTCCACTTGAGATTTTCTAGGTTTTGGTGATTTTGGGTAGTAATTGTTTACTTTTTGATTTTTATTTAGGGAATCCCTTAAGATAAGAATTCTGAGGTCTTGAAGGGACATGAACCCCCTTCCTGGCTTTTGGACAAAGCTGGATAGAAGTCATTTTCTCAGATTTTCTGTTTGCCAGAAAGAAAATTGAAGACCTGGGTGAGAAAGAGAGAGAGGCAGAGATCAATTTAATTTCTTATCTGGTATGTTCTGTTTCTGTTTCAGGTAAAATGTCGGTTCCAGGACCTTACCAAGCGGCCACTGGGCCTTCCTCGGCGCCATCCGCACCTCCATCCTACGAAGAGACGGTGGCTGTTCACAGTTACTACCCCACGCCTCCGGCTCCCATGCCTGGGCCAGCCACGGGGCTTGTGGCAGGGCCCGATGGGAAAGGCATGGGCCCTCCTTTGTATTACACGCAGCCAGTGGCCGTCCCCAATAACAATCCAAGTACGTGTGGCCTCCTAGGCCCCCCTTACCATTCCTGGGTTGTCCACCCTGAGACTCAGGAGAGTGGGAATCAGGAGAGTGACCGAAGGGACTCTGCCACAGTCTAAGTGAAGTGCCATTACGTTCCAGTTTTCCCCCCATACCTTGAAGTTTCACAAATAGTCATTTGGGTTCCGTGCTGGTGAGGCTCATGGCTTTTCCATAATAAAGTATGGTTTAGGATCTTTCCCACTGTTATAAGTAAAATTTCGATGCCGAAAAAGAAATAGCACTCAAAGATACGTCCTCTCGGCAAGGTAGTTTACTTCAATAGAAGGGTGCGGGCGAACGGACGGAGCAGTGATGGCCACCGCTTGGACAACGGGGTGGCGGGGTACTTATGCCTGGCGGGGGTCATCCCTACTGCCTTGTCGTCCCCTACTGACTAGGGTTAGACTGCACGAACTAGACTAATCCCACTGAACAGGGGTCCGAGCTGGATTGGCAGGGTGGGCATTTGGGCGGGAAGGACGGGTTATGGGCATGGATGAGTCAGAATGGGGGGTGGGTACAGATGTGACCTACCGATGAACCAGTGGAGAGGGTTGTTTACTGGAATCACAAGGAAGTTAAACTTTAAAATAGAGATTTAAAGAATAGGAGAGCTGGACATACTGACATACTGATTCTTTGAAGAGAACCTTGGGGTTCGTTAGAATGCCATCATCACCGCATACGAATCTTTTGGCATGTCTCACGGAGGCACAACCCACTTTCTTCTGAGAATGGGGGTTTGTGGTCTTAAGGGCCCCCGCCCTTCCTGCTGAGGTCTGATGTAGAACCTCTGCCTCCAGGCCAGAGCCAAGATAGGAACAGGGAGCAGAAGGTGTCCGAGCAACGTGTGACTGTTTTCACGCTAGCTTGCCCTCAATGCTACTTGCTCTTTTGCTTTTGAGCGACTGCACTTCGGTGCGTCCTTCTGCCCAAGTGTTCTTGGTATGTCGCTGCTTCAGCATCACGAGCAGTTTTGGGAGAAATCTTTAGCTCAGAGGGGGCCCGTGAATCAGACTGCCTGGGTTCACCTACCCTCTTGTGCCTCAGCTTCCCCATTTGTAAAATAGTTTTCATCGAGTACCTGTTTACCGCTCTCAGTGGGGTGTTAACACGAGAAGTTCTGTGTGCCACATACAGAGTCCTCATTCGATAAAAGTGAACTCTTACTGTTGCGTTCAAGTTATAGGACCCCTTGAGCTGGAAGAGGATGAGATAATGACTTTAGACTCTTAGACCATGCTGTGATCAATAAATAACTTACTCTTTTCTTTTTTTTTTTTTTGTGAAATAGGGTCTCACTGTGTTGCCCGGGCTAGAGTGCAGTGATGCAATTATAGCTCACTACAGCCTGTATCTCCTGGGCTCAAGTGATCTTCCCACCTCAGTCTCTGGAATAGCTAAGACTACAGGCATACACCACCACACCTGGCTAATTGTTACATTTTTGTAGAAACGGGGTCTCACTATGTTACCAGGTTGATCTTTAACTCCTAAACTCAAATGATCTTCCCACCACGCTTGGCCTCCCAAAGTTGATAATCCTGTTAACGTGAGCCACTGAGCCTGGCCCGAGTAACTTATTCTTGAACCCCAAAAACACTTAATAAAATGTGTGAACTGGGCATAGTGGCGTACGCCTGTAATCCCAGCTACTGAGGAGGCTGAGGCAGGAGGATCACCTGAGGCCAGGAGTTCAAGACCCGCCTGAGTGACATAGTGAGACCTTGTCTCTATGAAAATAAAATTAGCTGAGTGTGATGGCTTGCAACTGTAGTCCCAGCTACTTGGGAGGCTGAGGAGGGAGGATTGCTTGAAGCCAGGAGGTTGAGGCTGCAGTGAGCTGTTATTGTACCCCTGCACTCCAGCCTGGGAGACAGAACAAGACCCTGCCCCTAAAAAATTTTTTTTAAAAATTAACATAAATGCTAAAGTATGATTCAATACTACTTTTCTGGAAGGAGGGTCCTTCTATGAGTATTTCTAAGTTTAGTTAACTCTAGGCAGTAGTTAATTTCCATTGGTTATGTAAATGGCACTCTAACAATATAAAAAGGAACAGAAGGAAGTCGCTTTGACAAAAATATGAGCTTAACAACTGAAGTGCTTGATGATTTTCATCACCCTGGATTCTCTTCCTTTTTTTTTTTTGGAGACAGAGTCTTACTCTGTTGCCCAGGCTGGAGTGTGGTGACATGATCTCAGCTCATCGCAACCTCTGCCTCCTGGGTTCACGTGATTCTCCAGCCTCAGCCTCCCGAGTAGCTGGGACTACAGGCACGTGCCACCATGCCTGGCTAATTTTTGTCTTTTTAGTAGAGATGGGGTTTCACCACGTAGGCCAGGCTGGTCTTGAACTCCTGACCTCAGGTCATCCACCGCCCTCAACCTCCCAAAGTGCTGGGATTACAGATGTGAGCCACCGTGCCAGGCCTGGATTCTCTTCTGGTTCTTGTGAATGTCCACACATGTTTTCACTTAGCCGTTTCTTCCTAGCATTATTTCATATTTCATTTCTTACATCAACACAGCTCACAAGCTTATTGTCTTACAGAGTTGGCCTGCATTTCCCGGCGTGGTAAACTCCCCCTTTATCATTGGGTGCCAGAGATTATCAAAGGATCTGTGTTGATCAGGAGCTGCTAGACACAGTGTGAGACTGGTTAAAATTTATTTATTTATTTATTTATTTATTTTTGAGACCAAGTCTCGCTCTGTTGCCCAGGCTGGAGTGCAGTGGCGCTATCATGACTCACTGCAGCCTCAAGCTCTCAGACTCAAGTGATCCTCCCACCTCAGCCTCCTGAGTAGCTGGGACTACAGGCATTCACCACTCTGCCTGACTAATTTTTATAGTTTTTTGTAGAGATGAGGTCTTGTCATGTTGCCTAGGTTGATCTCGAGCTCCTGGTCTCAAGTGATCCTCCACCTCGTCATCCCAAAATGTTGGGATTATAGGCGTAAACCCCCATGCCCGGCCCGCCTTGTATGAGGCTGAATCATACTCGGTGGATAGATGAACCCCGATGTGTTAATTCATTCGTCCGTCAATGGACACTTGAGTTCCTTCCCCTTTGGGCCCTCCTAGATAGCGAAACGATGACCACATGCTATGAACATGGATGTACAGATAGAATATTTGCCGGCATCCCTGCATTCCCCTCTGTTCTGTAGCGAACGCTGTGGCCTTGTTTCCTGAGCAGCCTGTGTTTGCCCCTCTCCCTTCCATCAGTTGCCGTGCAGACGGTCTATGTGCAGCAGCCCATCTCCTTGGCGGACCGCCCCGTCCAGATGTGTTGTCCTTCCTGCAACAAGATGATCCTGAGTGAGCTGTCCTATCACGCCGGTGCTCTGACCTGGCTGTCCTGCGGGAGCTTGTGCCTGCTGGGGTGAGTCTGCCTCCTGTGTGGCCCCAAGACCTCCTGCCCTTCTCTCTGGGTGCTGCGGGTGGTGGCGGGGGCAGGGGGTGGTTCTCAACTGGAGCATAGTGACATTGTGCCAGACAGTTCGTTCACTCTCTTTCTTTCTCTCTCTCCCCCTTTTGCTTTCTCTTTCTCTGTCTTTCCTTTTCCCTTTCTTTCTTTCTTTCTCTCTCTCCCTCTCTTTCCTTCTTTCTTTCTTTCTTTTTCTTTCTTTCTTCTTCTCTTTCCTTTTCTTTTCTTTCCTTCTTTCCTTCTCTTTCTCCATTTCTTCCTTTCTCTCTTTTTCTTTCTCTCTTTTTTTTTTTTCTCTCTCTTTCTTTCCTTTCTTCCTTTCCTTCTCTTTCTTTTCCAGAGGAGTCTTGCTCTGTCACCCAGGCTGGAGTGCAGTGGTATGATCTCGGCTCACTACAAGTTCCACCTCCCAGGTTCAAGCGATTGTCCTGTCTCAGCCTCCCGAGTAGCTGGGACTACAGGCGCCCGTCACCGTGGCTGGCCAATTTTTGTATTTAGTAAAGACAGGGTTTCACCATGTTGGCCAGGCTGGTCTCAA